CATAAACACAAGCACTGTGATACCACGACAGTCGATCAGATAACTTAGTGGCTACTAAAGGACTAACGGGCAGGATACGCTGGACAAAGGGATGATGCACGTCCTAGATGGGATGCAGCAGAATGCACCGGATTTCATCACGCTACTGAAAACAGCACACAGCTTAGAACTTATGAATTGTTTGTTTCTGTAATTTTCCATTTGATATTTTCAGACCTTGGTTGACCATGGGTAACTGAAACCAAGGAAAGCAAAACAGAGGATAAGGGGGGACAATTGTAGTTCTGTTTAGATGAGTTCTTCCTGAAAATGGAGTACTTAAAGGAAACAAATCTATATTGACAAGGTGAATGTAAAATTATACTATGCTAAAAATTTAAAGCTGTAACCCTTTGTGATTGAAGTGACAGGGAGCAGTATTACTGCTAAATGGCCTGTTTCTCTTTAGCACTCAATTTTGTAGGAAAATGACATTCCTTTCTATTGTTAAGTATTCTTTCAAGATGCCCCTGAATAGCAGTAACTAAAATAACTGTAAAAGCCTTGGGTGATGTTTTACATTAGAGTTCTAAAGAGTGTTTGGTTTAAAAAAAAAAAAAAGAAAGAAAGAAAGGAAGTAAGCAGCGTTATCCTTCTTAAGTCAGTTCAACTTATTTTTAGCTTAAATACACTAGGAATAGCCCTAGAATTTAAAGTGTAAGAGAGAAAACTCTATCAATCTACCTGTAGTTAAGATGTTAGCTGCTAGTTTGCTTCATTGCTATCTTTGGAATGTCCTTAGTAGTTGTGAATATGAGATGCATTCAGAACTAGATGAATAGATTATCCGGTAAACATGAGACTAGTTCCCACACGCACAAAACCCAATTCCCATTTTTTTGGTCTATACTTCTCTGATATATTTCTCTGTATATGTACTTTTTTACTATATTATGTAGTAAAGTAATATCATTGTAACTTTGTTTGAAGAGGCCTCATGATATTTTGTCCTCATATACCAGAAAATATTAATATGACATATGCTTGATTCTTCATTAAGACTTCCCTTTGATTTCTATTTATTATGCCTCTTTATGAAGTGCAAGAAAACTTTGCTCAAAGAAAAAAGTTCCATCTTAATTAGATGTCCTCTTATTTATGTAGATATCTCTTTTCTCACTCAAAGACAAGCCCTCTGGGCACAGGTACCTGTCATGTCTATTTCATCTTTATATCTCATGCAGCACTCTGCTCAGAATAAAACATATAGTAAATTTTCACTAAACGTTAGTTGAATGAATTAATGCCTTCCAGAATCCCACTGCTTGGCCTTGGTACTCAGAGTTGTACAGCATTTCATCTGTAACATTCCTTTAACACAACCTGGGAAACTAAATTTGAATAATAACAGAATGTTCCATAACCTCTTAATCTGAGTTTGAATATATTTCTCTTGTTATAACTTTTTACAAAGGTAAAATGGTACGAGCCATGTTTTCTTTTTACCTTCCCTTGATTCATTCAGGAAACGGCCTTATTCACTTTTTAGCTTTTTTTGTGGGGGCGGTGGTACGCGGGCCTCTCACTGTTGTGGCCTCTCCCGTTGCGGAGCACAGGCTCCAGACGCGCAGGCTCAGCGGCCATGGCTCACGGGCCCAGCCGCTCCGTGACACGTGGGATCTTCGCGGACCGGGGCACAAACCCGTGTCCCCTGCATCGGCAGGCGGACTCTCAACCACTGCGCCACTAGGGAAGCCCCACCTTTTAGCTTTAAAATCTCGCTACATACCTATTTAACCTTACAAGTGATAAACGTAAAACGGCCCCAGTAAATTCTCATTTGTGCTTATTAAAATGGCCACAGGGACTTCCCTGTGGAAGTACCACAACTACTAAGCCCATGTACCACAACTACTGAGCCTGTGCGCCTAGAGCCCATGGTCCGCAACAAGCAAAGCCACTGCAATGAGAAGCCACCGCAATGAGAAGCCCGCTCACCGCAACTAGAGAAAGCCCGCACGCAGCAACGAAGACCCAATGCAGCCAAAAATAAATAAATTAAAAAAAATAAAATAGCCACAAAAGTAATTAAAATTGTGATATCCAATGCTGATGAAGTTGTGAAAAAGTAACAGAGTGGGTGCCTAGAAAAGCAGATAAATCTCAGATCCCTTTTGGAAAGCAACTTAGAAATATTTACATAGATGTTTATTTTAATTTACCTTTAATAGCAATAATTGGAAACAACCTAAGTATTCAGCAATTTGGGACAGCTTAAACAAATGATCACACCTGACTTTGATAGATGATAAACTATTCACAAGACAATCACAAGTACTGTGTAAAAACAAATGTGTGGTATAAAATAATAAAAAATCGGAACGTCAAACTATGTAAGAAGCTTACAATTGCTTGAAATATGAAAGTATAAATTTAAACGACTAGAAGGAAACAGGACAAAATGAAAACAGTTATGATAGAGTGATGGGATTATGGGTGCAATTTTTTGTTTCCTTTTACATTAAAAGATTATTTTAACAAAATATAAAATCAAAGGGAAAAAAAGGATCAAGTTTTAGTCCCTCGATGTTCGTATTTTAAGAAGGATGTTGTGCAGATACCTAAGCAACATTTGTCTTCCTTGCTTCAAAATCTCAGCATGTATTTTGTCTGGTTCCAGGGGCTTAACCATTTTTTAAAAAAAATAATTCTGGCTACCATAGTTATTCTTTGAAAGTCTAAACAAAGTTTGTATTGTTCCCTGGCAGCATCTCGTTTGCAGTAAACCATGAGTTACGATATTAGTGCCTCCTGGTGTAAGTTTTTTGAAGAAAACAGACTCGATAACTCTTTTTCTGGTTGCGTAGTAAATGACAGTCCTCTTTCAGGGTGTATTCAATTTCCATTGGAGTTCTTACCCTTGGTTATGTACAAATGGCTTATCAAAATTTTCTTATAATAGCCATCGTTATTGTAAGTCAACATTTTTGCTATTTTATCGAGGAAAGAGCAAATGATTATAGTGTAACTTTATATAGGAAGCAGAATTTCTTCCATGAGTTAAGACTTTAACAATTACAATAATCCAGTATAAGAGAAAAACATTTTTTGCTCTTCTAGAAAGACACTATTAACTTCACATTGCTTAGTTTATCTGGTAGGTGAACAAAAATCATCTTTATAGAAGTTACATTTAATTCAGGTCTGTATACATTCTGGAAGGTCATTTATAAATGGGGAGTATAAACCAAACGATAATAAGGATAGAAATATTCTTCATCAACTCTCCCAGTTTCGAGATGCATTCATTCATTCAGCAACGCATCATTGTACTAAAAGCACAACCTCTTAACTCAGAGTTGTGTACCTCTGGAAAAATTACTTTACCTCTCTGTGCCTTAGTTTCTCCATCTATTAAATATAGATAAAGATAGTACTTACCTTATAGACATTTGTGAGAATTAAGTGAGTTAATGAATACAAAGCTACTGGAACTTAAGAAATGTTGCTGTTTTACTAATGTAAGTGTTCTTGAAGGTGAGAGCACAAATACTAAAATGGCACAATTTCTGCCCTCCAGACCACCTAGAAAACATTCTTAAAAAATCAACTTGGTTTGCCGTTAGCCTAAAACTGCTCTGAAAAATAAAGTCAATTTTTTTTAATCAACTAAGTAGCAACTTTTTTTTTTTTTTTTGCTGTTCGCGGGCCTCTCACGGCCGTGGTCCCTCCCGCCGCGGAGCACAGGCGCCGGACGCGCAGGCCCAGCGGCCACGGCCCACGGACCCAGCCGCTCCGCGGCACGCGGGATCCTACCGGACCGGGGCACGAACCCGCGCCCCCTGCATCGGCAGGCGGACCCTCAACCACTACGCCACCAGGGAAACCGATAAGCAGCAACTTTTTAACCCTCAGGGGAAAGAAATTTGCCGAGAAGTTGAAGCACATAATAAATGGCTTTGGGAATGTTTTTAAATGAAAATGAAATTCTAGTTGCTCTACGTTTGAGCTACACGGAAGTATTAAAAGCTACACTTTCTTCTCCCAATTTTACTGAGATACATTGGACACATGACATTGAATTAGTTTTAGGTGTACAACATAATGGTTTGATACATGTATATACTGTGAAATGATTACCACAGTAAGTTTGGTTAACATCCATCGTCTCACATGGTTACACTTTTTTTTTTCCCTTGTGATAAGAACTTTTAAGATCTACTCTCTTAACAACTTTCAAATATACCATACAGTATTGTTAACTACAGTCGTCATGCAGAATATCTTTCCTTTGCTTTTGAGCGCAAGAGACTTCCGCTTTGGAAAACAATTGCTGGTTCAGAGTCTAGAAATATTGATATACATCATCATCTTTCTGAAATGGAAAATCCTTCTAGCTAATAGCCATCATCTTTTTCTCAAATGCCTATCACTCAATATGACAATGAAAACCACAACTCCTAATGTTTATTTTAATTATATTTACAGTGAAACTGGAAAGAGAAATCAAAGCCATTTTTACTTTTGTGTCAAATGTGTCTAAATGAGTTAAGTAGATGTTCAAAGGTGTGTATATTCTTCAAGATTTAGGTTTGGAGATGCTCATTTGCTTAAGTCTAATAAATAGAATGATTTAGTCTCTATTTTCCTGAGCTGATGAATCATTTGAAAGTTCTCCATCAAGAAAGTCTTAAATTTTCAGATGTCTTTTACTCATTCAACAAATATTGTACCTAGCATATACCTAGCTATATGTACCTAGCATCATGCTAGATATTCATTTCCATTGGTAATTTGCTTTCACTTTCTCAGTGGAGAAAAAACTCAACACAAGGAAATTAGCCCTCTTGTATCCTCGGTCCCTAGCACATAGAATTTTGGACCAAACAAGCTAACTTGTGTAACTAGTCTAACATACTATGTACTTCTTGAGCATTATTGGATGGTTATATCCTCTAATGAGCTATATAATGTGTTGATTTTGTCTGTTTTATTTAGTAGTATCTATTTTATATTTTGAGGGTGAACCCGGGTTGCCTGGAGCAGTAGGACAGAATGGAATACCAGGGCCAAAGGTTAGTACAAAGAAAACCAAGCAGAATCATTTGAGGCGTGAGTTTTCATGAGATTGTAAGCTGTTACACTTTTTTTATATCCCACTGGTTTTACTTGGATGGAATTTTTTGTCAATAATATAATACACTATAGTATAAAAGTTTGTGACTAAGGAATAAGTGATGTTAGTGATTAGCATTAAAAATGCAGAGAAACAGTGTAGGATATGTCTAAATTTTTATTTCTGGGATACTTAAATAACATGAGAAAGCCTGTGTTTCAAATGTGACTTTGTCATTTTACCACTTAATGAACATATTACAACATAGGCCATGTCCATACTGCCAACATTTGCATAATTTTTACAAGATGTACTAAAGATGTTCACAGCGCCACTGTGACTTTTCCTCAAGATTTGGCCACCTCCAAGGCTTACACAACCTAACCAGTTAATCAAATGAAGAGCATAATAAAAATGTGGCATGTTTGAAATTTAAAAATGGATGTAGTCTGAATTACTAAGTAGGGAAAAAATGTAATAGAGTTTTTTTGGGGGTTCCAAATTTCCTTTGTTTTTGAAGAACAAATTACTCTTAAATATAAAACGATTGGTGACAGTTTAGTTTAAACCAAATAGGCAGACAAATCCCAAGTCCTTTGATGAGTGACCATCCCTTGAAGTACAAAACTAATGTCTAATCCCATCAGCTGTGCTGGTGTGTATCCATAGCCACAGATGCTTGTCAGCTGATTTTACAGATCACATTGCTATTGACAGGAGCCTACGACAGACCTAAAATTTGTAGACCTGTCTTTTGTCCTGCAGGAGAGGAAAGAAAATATTCCTTCTGGGACGACAGCCATTTTCCTGTCTTCTTCCCTCTCTTGCTCCATGCTAAAATGCCAAATGATAGGAGTTAATGCTTAATATATGTTCTCAGTACTATTCTTCTGTTGCCTAGCGACCATCAGGATGGCTGCTGAGCAGTGAAAGGTAACCAGAAATTCAGAAAGCCAAAGGGTCAGGCGGAGTTTCAGGGGGTGCAAAGAGTGTTGCCTTCAAACAGACTTCTTGAGTGAATTATAATTTTAAAAAACACAATAACCACCTTAAAAATCATTTTTAAAGTAGTCTGATCTTATTGCAACACTTTCTCAAGCTTTTCTTAAGAGGAATATTATCAAAATGTGTGTGATTTGCTTTAGATTTATTCTCTGACTCTGTCCCCTGTCCCTTCCTGGGTAAAGTGAAAATGAGATTCTTTTCAGAACACAATTTTGCATTTTAGTCCTTGTACTGTCATGGTCATCATTTTGAGTAAAGACATCTCTCCTAAACTCACTTAGAGTCTGCCCCAATATAGTATCTTTTCTGAAAAAAACTAATGCCTCCTAAAGTACACCTAACTTGGAACATAGTGGTTAACAACAGATTGAAGAGAGTTCATGACATTGTGAAGGGGTCCAAGTTCAGGCCTTAGTCACATCAGGGGAAGACAGATTAGAGAACTACACTGGTACTCTGACCCCTGAAATAATCCGTGCACCAGGGGCTGCTTTGAATGGAAGATTTCATTGAAGGATGTAAGTAAATAAACTCACCTTACTGAGTCTGAGTTTGAGCAGAATAAAGTGTCATAATCTCAAAAGCCTCTTGAGACGTTGAATTGTCACAACATTTTTCTCCTTAGTGCCCTAAAAGCCGGGTTTTGGCTGATCATCTTAAATATCTTTCTTTAGTCCTCGAAAGCAAAGAATTAAAATTACATTTGCTATTGATATCCATACTCAGTGCTCCAGGAAACTCGTCTTAACCTTTTGTTTTTATAGAGCAACTATATATTGCCAAAATAGAAAATGTCATGTATAATTTATCTATTAATAGTACGTTCAATATCTGATTTTGTTTAGTGTTGATTGATTAGGTGTTTTATAATTTAATATGTCACTCAATCTTTGTTCTTTTGGCCAGGGACAACCTGGAGAACGAGGAGAAAAGGTGAGAATGATTCTGCTGATTTTTATTTTTTTTTCCCCAAAGAGGTACCAAACTGAACTGTATTTATGTGTGGTTGGATAGACAGATACAGGTATACAAGCATACCTTGGAGATATTGCAGGCTCTGTTCCAGATCACTGCAATAAAGTGAACATTGCAATAAAATGAATCACACGAATTTTTCGGTTTCCCAGTGCATATAAAAGTTACGTTTACGCTATACCGTAGTCAGTTAAGTGTTCAATAGCATTATGTCTAAAACACAACGTGCCTGCCTTAATTGAAAAATGATGCTGTTAGAAAAATGGCACCCTTAGACTTGGTTGACACATGGTTGCCACAAATCTTCAATCTGTAAAGAATGCAGTAGTATCTTTGAAGTACAATAAAGCAAAGCACAATAAAACAAGGTATGCTTAGTTATATAGATGTAGATAGATATAATGACCACTGTTTTTTCAAACTGCTAATTAGTGGAAGGAGAAAATAGTGTAATTCTTATATATGTATAGAAGTTTGGGTAAAAAAGATTTAAAGAAATGGAGGAGAAGGGTGCAAATTTAAACATTCTATGTCAGGCTTTTAAATGACTTTCAAAAATCCCTAGGCCTGCAAAATTTTTGTTCTACCTATTTGCTAATGCCGCTCCAGTACTTTTCTAAGCATCCTTCTCTCTCTCTACTACTTCTGAGGTCAGTAGGTTAAAGGGATACAGATGTTTACCTGCAGCAAATACACTGAAAGTTGTCCTAAAAAGAATTCCCATAAAACCCAAAAAGAGAAGCAAAAGGAGAAGCAGAGTGCATATGTTAAATTTCTCTTAGACAAACATCCTTCCTTACTGCTTTGGGAGAGTTCTCATGCTATGTCCTTGACCAGTGTTTGAGAAGTATGCCGTCTCTGCAGGCAACTACCAAGATACCACATAATGCCCTTCATAAGTGATACGATCTTTCTGACAAATCAGTATCATCACCACTAATCCCCAAAGAAGTACATCTACAGATCCAGCAAGCTTCATGAACGTAACTGTAGCTTTGAGCTGTATTTTACAACTGTATTCTTGTAAAACAAAAATAAAAAGGCATTTATTTAAATGGAAGGAGAGCAGAGCAGAGAGGCAACTCAGTCAAACCCTTCACTTCATGGCCACTCTGAACCAGTTTTCCTAATAAGAAAGTTTGTTTTGTTTGTTTTGTTATTTAATAAAGGGATTTCCAAGCAACTTTTAAAAGTGTGCTAATGAGATGCCTATCAAAGGTCCCCCATAACTTATGATCAGTGTATTTATTTGGCTTCCAACCAGTTCATGGTAATTAACCTGAAATGAATTAGTCATCAGATGACTCTTTTGTGTAGAAATTAAGGAGGGAAAGGGAGCAGTGCCAGCACCATTCCAGGGACTCATCAGATAAAGCTGCTCAGGCTCCCAGGCCACTGTGCTGTCCCCGTCACCATAAAAGAATGCCCGAGCAGGACAGCCTCATGCTTATTTGAAACAAGAAAAGAAAGTGAAGAGAAAAGGTTAAACTCTCCCTCCTTCGCCACCCCTCCTTCTCCCAGGGAAAGCATTATCAGTAGCTTCTCTCTTATTTTACGGAAAATTTTAAATGATACAAGAGTGACCTCTTACGCAGCTGGGCAGAAGGGTATTCCAGCTTACGGAATGTATGAACAATAATGCATTGTTATTGCTAATGATGATCATTAACAGCTTATGATGTGTCAGATACTGTCCCAGTTGCTTTAGACGCAGTAATTGTTTATTTCTTATAACCCCATAAAATATTCTTACCCTTACGTTGCACATGAGAAATTTGATGTAAAGAGAATTTCATTTGCCCAGTAGGGCCTGGACCTGGGCTCGAACTCTCTGGCTCCAAAATTCATGATGTTTCCACTAGAGCATTCTATAAGACTTAAAGAATTTAGAATTTAAGAAAGCAAAGCATGGATAATAAACAAATGACTTTTTTCCTAAAGCACTGCTTGTGGGTAGAAAGATATCAGTGAGGGAATAGGCATAGGAGCTCTCAAAAATAACAAAGGAAGCATAAACTCCCCAATTTATTTTACTCTAATTTTTTAAAATTTTCTAATAAGATATAAAACATTTATTTCTCAAATGCAAAACACTTAGGCCCAGATAACTCAATGTTATCTGGGTGCAGCAGTTTTGATGGCTGGGTCATGCACTTTGAGGGCCTGGAGATTTGAGATGCGTAGAATTCACAGATTGAAGGGAAAGGAGAAGGCAGGACTCCAGGTGGCAGGAGTGGGACAAGGAAGGAGACAGAAAGGGTAAGGCACACGGCACATTGAGGGAGTCAGGAGAAAGCCTTTGTTAGAATGACTCTTTGAGCAGAGAAAAGAGAAAGGGTTAAGGGGGCCAGAATAGGCTATTAGTGCCAGAATAAGCTATTAGAAGTCAGAGAAATTACCTTCTGTTATTATCGTGGAGTAGTTTAAAACTATTTAGCCATGTTCATTGTAATAAAATTTATTTGGACTAGTTGATATCAGGCAGCTGGTCAAGTAAAGTACATTAGCTCTGTAGAACATTTACAACAGATTTTAATATATAGTGCCTATGAAAGGAAACTTAAAATAATGAAAAGTACTCTTTGCTGAATGTCACCAATATATTTTACATGTATTGCTTTTTTCCCCTCCTAGGGAGATGCTGGAGAGAATGGCCCCAAAGGTGATACAGGTGAAAAGGTACAGTGTTGCGAAATATGAAAGAGTATGTGTATGAGCAAGAATATTTCATGTACATGAAAATGGGAGATCAGAGATAATTCTACACAATTAGAAAACTTTTAAATATTTAATGTATAAAAGGTGATTATTCCACCAGCTCCTAGCTACAAATTTAAATATTTTAAAAGTAAAATGCTATGTCAAAAATTCTAGAAGATGTGTAATTGGGTTTCTAGTAATATGACTTTCAAGACAAAAAGAAACACACCACTATTTATGTGTAAATGGAACACTCCCTTTATACACAGAGATATAAAAATAGAGTTCCTAAAGTGATTCCATTTGTCCCGATTTTAGGATAGAAGATTGCAGAGGATTCGGAGGGGATGTAAGAGTTTGATAATCAGCTAAAGTCAGTTGATTAGAGCCTCTCATGCAGTCTTGAAAATTTGCTTCAACTTGAAATCTACTAGATCCAGATATTTTGTCAGCCTTTGTATTCTCTGTCTTTTTTTTTTTTTTTTTCTTTTTTGGCCTTTAAGCCATTATTAGCACTTATATTGCGGTGGTCTTTTGTTCATCTTCCTACCTCCTGTCTTTTTTTCCTCAGTCTATCGAAGTTTTTGCTTGGATTCTTACTTCACACACATCTCTGACATAGGAAGGAAATTTTTATTTCATTTGTGCTGTATGTTAAGAATTAAGAAAAAGATCTTTTAAGAAACTAAAAATGGAATAGTCGGATTTAATTTAAATCAGGCTAATTGATGAAACAAAGAATGATTCATTTAGGCTTGTAGTTGAGAATAAGAATACTTTGAAAATTATTATGGTACAGATGGACAATTGTTAGTCATAAAAACATACCCATAAAGTAAAGAGAAATTTGTCTTCCTCATTCTTATAAATATTAATATAAATATGGCATGGGTGGTAGGGAGAAATTAATGGTAGGAATAAATGAATGTCACCGAGTAGCAACTGTGTTTGTATTCAAAAGGGAGTCTAGAAATTAGAGTGGACTCTCAGTTTCTTGTAGACCAGGGTTTCTCAGCCTCTGCACTACTGACATTTTGGGCTGGATAATCCTTCTTGAGGGAGCTGTCAGATGTCTAGCCTCGTTCCTGGCCTCTGCCCAGCGGATGCCAGTAGCATCTCCGAGTTGTGACAACCAACACTCTCTCCAGAGGTTGCCAATTGTCCACTGGGGAACAAAATCATCCCTCACTGAGAACCACTGTTGTAAACCCATTTTATTTATCTGTCAGATTTAAGTATCATGCTGCAATCCACCATGACATGAGTATGTTTAATACTAATGGGACCAGTGATATACCTCTATGACTTCTTGAAGTCAAAATTTAAAACCCTAGGTATATAAACATAGATATTTTATTTACCTTTGTTGTGTTTGCTTAAAAGCAGGAGTCAGCAAACTTTTCCTGTAAAGGGCCAGAAAATAAATATTTTAGGTTTTGTGGGCCATATGGCATCTGTCACAATTACTCAACTCTGTCATCGTAGCATGACAGCAGCCATAGACAATATGTATACATATGAGAGTGGCTCTATTCCAATAAAACTTTATTTCTGGACACTGAAATTTTAATTTCATGCGGTTTTCAAATGTCATGAAATATTATTCTTTTTATAATTTTGTTAACCGTTAAAAATGTGAAAACCACTCTTAGCTCTTGGGCCACACAAAAACAGGTGGCTAGCTGGATTTGGCCCTCGGGCCATAGTTGCCAACCTCTGTTTAAAGAAAGGAAATCTTCTAAACAGAGAGCAGTTTCTCCAAGTGAAAACCATTTATGCCAAGCCTGAGCTACGCCTATGTGGATTTATGTAGAGAATTTTAATCTTTAGAATATGTATTTTTAGAGCTTAATTTTTGAATGTAGGCCAATAGTTTCTTTAATCACACATTTTTAAAATTTAATATTGCAATAGTAAAGCAACTTTGTTTTCTCTGTAAAAGCTAAATTCATCTCAAAGGAATACGGTTCTTATTTTTTATATTAACACAAATCATTTACCATGCTGACTCACACATAGTAAACTCTCAATAAATGTTAGCTTTCTTACCACATGGAAATGGAAATCAACTAGATTGGTTATTTTTCTTTTTTATCAAAAAGTTTTATTAGTCAACTGAAATTAAGTTTGAGAAATGCTTCAGTTAAAATAGAAGTCATTTCTATAAATTTTCAGTGAGTCTAAACAGGGGATTGTAAATAGGAATCTGTAACATATAATACGTAATCTGACCTGTAGCATTCATCCCCAAGAATGCTGTAATTGGAATATAATTTTTGATGTGTTTTTTAAACATTTCCTGCTTCTGTCACATAATTTGTTTCCAGCATGTTAGAAACACTCTTCTCATGGCCTTTGGGTTCAGTATGTGAAACTCATTCATCATTTACCAAGTTTGAGGTGTAAAATCAAAAAAATGCTTCTTTTCTGCCATTGATGTAGTAAATTACGTCATTGGCGATTCACTTTAATAGGATTTCTTTCCTTGTGATCCAACTAGGTGCTTTTGGATGGTAAAGCAATCTAAGCCTTTCCAGACTGGTCATCTGGAAATGCTGTGGGACTGTAAAAACCTCTGGGCTGGGTTTTCTCTGTGGCCAGAAGCTACGATGAACTCTAGAATTAAGAATGACCTGCCAAAGACTGATTTTAATCATGTGTGGAGTTACTACGGGAAGGTTATGTTCTGCTCTTTGGAGTGTTAATCCCACCAACTAATGTAGAAATGCATTTCTTATCTATTATCCCAGCACTTGAAAGTAAGTGTTGGTGCGGACCACTGAATGGTTCCATCATGCCACTCTATTATTCACAACCTTATCTGTTCGTTTAGAAATTTCACATTCTTTCTTTTTTTTTCCTGAGCATTTTTTAAAAACTTTTTTATTTTATATTGCAGTATAACCAATTAACAATGTTGTGATAGTTTCAGGTGCACAGCAAAGTGACTCAGCCATACTTATACATGTATCCATTCTCCCCCAGACTCCCCTCCCATCCAGGCTGCCACATAACATTGAACAGAATTCCCTGTGCTCTACAGTAGGTCCTCGTTGGTTATCCGTTTTCAGTATAGCAGGAAGCTTCACTTTCTTGGTATTGCCTGTCTGTATCTTCATTTTTCTTTTCTCCCCCAATCTCCATTTCTATAAATAACCTGCCTTCTTACTTTACACCTGCAGAGCATCTTTGATTTGCATCCTCAGAGCCTTTTCAGAAGCGGCACCCATATTTGGAGCCACCCACCAAATTGCCTTTTCTTAAGATCACATAGGAAGGCTTTTCTTTTGGGCATAGGGCCTTCTCCAATTTAGCACATATGATGCTTCCCTTAGCTTAGAATACTCTTCTCTGTCCACCTCCACCTCCTCACGTTCTCATCCTATTCCTGTCTACTGAGACCTGGATTTATTAAGTCATTTCCCTGGGGCAGCCTTTCAGTCTCCCCTGGACTGTCTCTGTTACCCTCTATGTGCTCCCAGAGCACTCTCTATGATCCCTTTCATAACCCTTATCACAATTTATTGTAATTCCTTGTTTAATTGGGCATCCAGCTCACTGGAAAAGAAAAAATAAACAAACAAAAAACTATAAGTTACCAAACTGTTCTATTCCCAACACCAATCCAATTTCCTGGCATGTAATAGGAAGATAATAAATATTTATTGAATGAAAAACCTTAAAAAAATTTTTTTTTTTTACTTTCACCTGCTTCTTATTTTCATTGAATGGTAGAACTTTTTCCTGTACCATGCATTTGTTTATCATGTCTTCTGTGGTGACACAAAATTTCCCAACATGACAATTTCTTCCTATCCCAGACTTTTTTGTACGTGGAAAGAAAGAAAAAGAAAGTATCTTTTATGCATTCAATCAATAATATTTTTGAATACATGTATTTGTGTACATATATACTATATACATATATACAAATGATTACAGTAGTCCTTCGGTATCTCCAGGAGATTGGTTCCAGGATGCCTGCAAATACCAAAATCCTAGCACGTCCCTTATATAAAACGGGCTAGTATTTGCATATAACCTATGCGCATGCTCCCATATTCAATTGACCCTTAAATAATGCGGGGCTTAGGAGTGCTGAGACTCTGCCAGTTGAAATCAAGGTATAATTTACAAAAGGCCCTCCTTATACATGTTTCCTTCACATCCCTGTTTTCTCCATATCGTGGTTCCCCATCCGCCGAATTCAACCAACTGCAGATCATGTGGTACTGTAATATTTACTGTTGAAAAAAAATCCACATGTAAGTGGACCTTTGCAGTTCAAGCCTGTGTTGTTTAAGGGTCAGCTGTACTGTAAAGCTTCTCTAGATTACTTATGATACCGAATACTATGTAAACAGTTGCCAGGCACACAGAAATTTAAGTTTTGCTCTTTGGAATTTTCAGGAATTTTTTTCTCAGAAGATTTTTAGTCCAAGGTTGGGTGAGTCCGCAGATGCAGAACCCAGGGATATGGAAGGGTGACTATATCGTAAGCACAGGACAAGGGCAGGGTTTGAAACAGCATTGTTCGCTTTATAGCCCTAGCTCCTAGTATCCCTGCATCCAGAACATGGTTGGCACATAATCGATGCTCAATAAATATTTATTGAATGAATTAATGACTGATAGAAATATCACCACATTCACTTTATTTATCCACATAGACTTTAGTAACACATACATATAATTACATACCAGATGTTGTGCTTGAAAATAATCACAGCCAAAGACAAAAATTCTGTACTTGAATGGTCAATAGCAAAGTCAAATTCATTTACCTCAAATATCTTCTCAAAGTATTTTTTGCTTTATGATTTACCCTGTGGAAACTTTTATTTTCAAACCAACTGATTTGTGAAGCTAAGGGTATACTTAGAGAGACACAGTTGGGTTTTTTTTTCCTACTTTAATCCTGTATTCATTTTCACTTTTAGAGGAATGAGGATTATAAACACTGACTTTTATTTTCACTACTTGCAGCATTATCCTTTAAAATGTTTAACTTAGGAATGTCTTCCAGCAATTGCCTTGCCACTTAAAAGTTATAAAAATTCCTTGAGATTTCACAGTTCTAATTTTTGAAAAGAAAGTTGATATATCAGTCATAGTTGTCCATCAAATGAAACTGTTCCAGTTTCCACAAATAAATCAGGCTTCCTGGAAACTGTCCTTTCCTTCCCATCCACTTTTTCTGAGAACTAAATCTAGTCCTTATTCTCGTTAGTGGATTATCCAGTCACTTTCCATTAAAACACTGGGAAAAAAAAGTGTTTAAACTACAGTTAATACAAGCAACTTCCTTTTATTTATAAGTTTACTACAACCATTGTGCCCTGTTGCCAAAACGAGATAAACCAATAATTCTTTTCTTATTCCAATAAAAAGAACATGGCAATAGAATTCAGGAAGTCCAAAATTCACTTAGGCTCAAGTTGCTTCAATTTGCTCATCTATTGAGTAAAAATAGTAATATCTGCCCTATCTCCTGGGAGTCTTATGAGGTATAAATAAGATGAAAAAGGGGGCTTAGAAAAGTCAAAATTGCTTTTATGAATACAAAGGTCTCATTGTGCAAAATACTGATTCATTGGTGTTGATGGCTTTCAGACAGACTTGATTTAGTGGAAACAGAAATAAGTATTATTTTGTTAGCCACATTTATTTCGCTGCCCACTCGGAACTCAATTGATTATTAGTGATGGGGAAAAGAAACCAGTATCATTTTACAATAAGACAGTATTTGGTATCCTGTTCTATATGTTTTGTCATGTTTTAATTTTTCCTTGAGTAGTAGCCATTACAGATGTCAAAGAAACTCATATGTTTCCTCAAATGAGTTAATTTATCATTTCCTCCTCCTTCTTAAGCTTTGTTTTTCTTCCCAAAGGTTTTTTTTTTTGATTCTTGACTACTTGCTGAAAATATTCTTTCTGAGATTTGTTCATTTATTCACCATATACGTATCCAGCATATTTTATTCAGACACTGAATAAAAATAGACCCTGAACCTGCCCACAGGTGGCTGATCCTCTAATGGAGGGACAAGCAAAGAATAGGCAGAAAACATATATACATAATCCATATGCAGTGAGCTTGCAGGACTTGAACAGGTGCTGCAGAGTGAGATGTGGATGTGAGGGGCATGTGTCTAGGTTGTTCAGTGAGGGGTTGAGGCAAAGCCACTTAAGACCTGAACAAAGAGAACTGCCAGCTGTGGGGAGAAGAGAGAGAAGCTGAGGGAGAGGGGCAAGTACCTCAGGTGTAGAGGCCTGAGGTGTATCTCCATCTCTAAACGACATTGATGAGCAGCTCTCTAAACCTAGAACGAGGAAGTAGACCCCTAGAGCTCTGTGAGCCCTTGCACAGATAGGACAGCTGAGGAAACCTCAGTATGTGCCGTCCTCCTTGTGGCTGTTTCTGTTTTCTCAAATGACTATGTTTTCTCCCTTTTATTTTCCTTGTAGCATGTTTATGGGACAGAGGACTAGAAGGAACTGGAAAATCTAGGCCCTTGTCTGACCTCGTATCAGAAATAAGCAGCCACCCTCCGTGCTCTCTCCTGTTAGCCCCTACCTGTGTATTTAGAGCACATTTGCCTTAAGAATGTAGTCACACTCGGTGAAATCTGGATGGAATACAATGCCTTTCAGAAAACCAGATTCTGTCTCAAGATTTTCTCTCAGATCTTCCTTGTGTCCCTGTCACCCACAAGTCATCCATCATCCTGTAACTTTCCGGTGACTGCGTTACAATGAAATAAGTGTAGAGCTAGAAAAAAACGTGCTGGTCATAACGGTGACGGTGCTTCATGAGGAAAACAAACTGACCGGCGGCATGGCCTTTTCCAGCTCAACATCATTAACCCTTTGACTTCATCTGTTGAACCCTGACTTTCTGAAGACTGAAAGGGTCAGGGAACTCTAGTAAATGACAGCCAGTGACATTAATAAATTCCTGAAATAGAGAAAACTGAAATTCCAGATCCACTAATATATTGCTTTAGAATACAATTTTAGCACTGTATCAAGGGAAGAGATCCATATTTATATACTTATATTTATTTCAAGGAATGTAGTCCTTATGTATTTTGCAAAGTAAACCCATGTTTTTAGAAAGTATATTGTTTATCTTGGAAATTACTGACATCTTAGCCGTATTGATACAAAATCTTAGGGAGCATAGTTCGGCCCATTGGTCATGGGGTTTCCTTAGGCGCTCCTGTAGATAACAGCTCTCTATGTGTTTGTGTGTTTCCTATTCCCATCACTTGTAGAATAATCTCTCATGCGTTTCATTTTAGGGTGACCCTGGATCGTCCGCTGCAGGAATTAAGGTAACTATAGCCTTGCAAGTGTTTGTGCCCCAGGAGTTACAGCTTTGACTTTTATAAGTCTCTTGTTTCCCTTCCCTTTTACCAACTTTGATGGTTCTAACTCTGTTCCTATACTACTGCAATAATCAACTTCTAGACACAACACGGAGTATCTGCTAGAAATCTCTGATAAAGACTTAAACAAGAGGTCTTGCCTTTTCTTCCCTTTCTGATTGGTTTTTATGGAAATGTGGATTTGTATGTGAGCTTTAGGTATATTTACAGCAAAAAAAAAAAATGTTCATATGTCTGATGAGATGTAGAACAACAGAATAAAGTGAATGAAATGCATGTGTCATCGGGGAGGCTGAAAGTGTCCAAGGGCCTAAGGCTTTTGGAAAATTCTTATCAGGCTGCCCTTTTCATCTTTGATTTTCTTTGGCCAGGGAGAGCCCGGAGAATCTGGTCGTCCAGGGCAAAAGGTAAATCCCTATTCTGGTGTGTTCTTTGTACTGTCTTATAGTCACCATTTGACTATGTTTGCTATCACTGTATAATATGAGAACAATTACTGAAAATGATGCCATTTTCATGCCTTATATGCAGAGTGTTTTTGAGTGTTTTTCATTTTAAAAGGGTTGATGCTGACCATAGTAAAAGTACAAACATAATCTGGACGTGTAAAAGGATGCTTCATGAACTAAAGTCAGCATATACTGAGCTGTTTGAGACTAACAAAGATCTACTGGGTTGGAATGCCAACAACCTATCTTGCATGTTTAAAAATACTCTGCATGTTTCTATCTTTTATGAGAAGAAATGAATATTTACTAAACTGTCTCAATAGGGAATGACGGACAGTTCTTTTAAAATTATATTCCTTTCCTCTCATTTCAAATACTTCCCTGCTGATAACTTTTTTTTGTGAATAATATCTACCTAAGCAGTGAATGTTATGCTGTAAAAGAGGTTTGTTCATGAACTAAGTTTTAATTGGAGACAGTAACCAAACCACTTTAACCAATCTAACGTTAATTTTTTTTATCATTTGTGCTTCACTTCAGTGATAAATTAGAGGACATGCAATGAATATGTTTATTCTCATTTGAGTCTGAAGCAGGAAACGACTGTTCGTAGTCTATCGTCTGAGCATCTGGATATCAATGCCCAGTGCAGATTTTAGATTTTTAGATAACAGATGTGGCTAACAAGTAAACGTGAATTCCACATTATGATAAATCTCTGAGATCATGACTCTGCCTTTGTCTAGCAGTAGTTAATGTTATAGAAAAAATAATATGAATAGAAACATAGAATATACCTCATTAGTATAAAGAGAAAGAGAGAATAAATCCCATTGTAGTCGTTTGGAACCTTAGAACATAACATAAAAAAATATTCCCACATTCTTGAAGTTATTGAGAGGATCACTGCTTTGTTTAAACACTTCAGATTAAAGTGTTTTTTGAGAAGGTCTTTCACATTCTTTTAACATTTCCCTAATTGAAAAATAGATTTTCTTGAAATTAAGAATCTAAGAGTAATGATTCATTAGACCCAATTTCAGGTAAAGTTGAGACTTTTCCAAAGAGCCCAGCATAACTCTGCAAATTTTGCTCTTCAGTGCCTAAGATTTCCTAATGATTCTTTATGTAAGAAATTTGAAAGTAGTGATATCACAGAGATCCATGGTCTGCTTTGGTTTGAAAGAGCATCTAATTTTCTCAGATGATCTCATTTTAAGTCCCTCAGTCTTTAAAAATTAAAAGCTAAATTTAAACTGCTCTCCAAAACTGTGATAAGTTAAAAGAATTGTCTGCAAAACTGTTACGTCTTTTTAAAAAACAAAACAAGTCTGCTATAATTTCATATAGGTTCCACTGTTTTCAGAGTGGAAGACAATTGGTTAATAAAATATTGTTTTATCATGATTATTTAAAAATACATTTTAGATTCATTTCTGGAAGTTTATAGGTTTACATATGGAAACATTGGCTTTTCTTTGTATTTCATTAAAAACCTGTTTTAAATTATATTGAGAGAAGTGGATTCTACCTGAACAGATATGTTTATGAATATTACAACGCATCTGAATGAAAATGTGCCCTGAAAAGAACAGTATCTTTTTCATTAATATTTAGGCCAGATTCTACCCGTTGACACAATCTCACTTTCCCACAATATTTATGACTTCCTTGTCTAGTATCTGGATTTGGCAATACTTACCCCAACACTGATTTAAAAGTAGAGTGTTTCCATTCTTGCTGGTTGCTTAGATTGGAAAATGACAAACAGAACTGAGTACAGAATCCATTCAAGGAATCTTCCACGACATTTTTCTCACCATTGCAGAACTTTGTTGTGGGTTCATGGGTACTTAAGCTCCTGCATTAGGGACATTCCCAGAAAAGTAGAGGATATCCTGCTAGAATTAAAGTGCATTGATTAGCTCTCCACTGTCTGGTATTTTGCAGTATGAAAGTTTGTTATTTAGAGTAACATTCATAATAGGGAATGATTTAATTATAGTTTTTTTCTTTTATAGACTCAGCAGGAGAGTGTGTGATTGATATGTGAGTTAGGGTATATATGTTTGTAAAGTGAGTGTGTGTTTCATCACATAATTTTTTCCTTCCTAACTTCACATTCAATGGCATTGGTGGTATAGTGGTGAGCATAGCTGCCTTCCTAACTTCTCCACATCTTTTTAAAATATATTTTTTAGTTTTAATGGGGTAAAAATACATTTTTGCCCATTGTAAGGGACTGGCACAGTTGAACTGTATCTAGAAACATAGGGCACTGTCACAGGGACATGGGGTGAAAGCAGAGAACTGACTTTAACAGTAGACAAGGGTCTCCGATAATGGAGAATAAAGAGTGAAAGGGAAAGAAAAAAGAAAACCAGAAGCATAACATATCAGTGTAAAGTGTAATATACTTGGGCAAGAAGTCTTTGAATGGAATAACAAACCGATTCTTAATTATGACCTAGATCTGAACTTGGGCTGTGCGTGACCAAGAACTCAGCTCAGAGAAGCTCTGAGTCAAGAAATAGGCAAGAATGGAGAAATTAACTGAAAACTGTCTCTTAATTAAAAGATAAACATTCATGGTATAAGGACAGAAAATTTATATAGGAAGAAATATCTTCCTAAAAATGCTGAGATGTTTCACAAAGGGTAACATTAAATGTTTTATAATCCTTCATTCTGTCAACTTTTAAGTAAACATAAATTTGGAAAGGTCAAAATCCAAGAGTATGAAATATGAATTCCTGAAAGATGTGTTCATTAAAAAGTACATTTATAACCTATATACTTACATATATATGCATATGATGTAGGGAAGAGCTAAGTGCTCAAACTCTCTATAAGTATCCAATCTACATTATGAAATAATCCATAATGTTTTATACATCTTTCTCATTGTGAGAAACATGGATGTGTCTATGTATGCATGTGTATATAAATATCTTACTTTAAAGTAGTCATCAGATCCTTTTAATTTGACCCTTCCGCTTGAGGGAAGGGTCTAGTAAAAACTTCTTTGAGGAAACAGTGTTACAACCTATATGTTTCCACACATGTCTTAAATAGGATGTCTTGAGTTTTGGGGGCTTTTCTGAAACAATACAAAACTATCAATATGTCACCAATATGTTTACTTTTATTGGTTGTATATTCTACTGCAACTTACTGTGTTTTCAAGGGCCTATACTTTTTTCTTAGTAAAAGAGAATCTTCACTGAAATATGGATAAGCTCTTTTTACTAGAGCTTCCTAAAGTTATTGACTAAAGGGAAATGGGGGGAAAAAAAGAAAATCAAATGTATAATGTATCTATGTAAAGTTTAATCTACTTGGACAAGTTTCTTTGAATGAAATATCAAATTCTTAATAATCATTCTTTCTTCTCTGGCTTAATCTCATCTTAGTCTTTTTGTTCACAATGCAAACTTTCACTAAGGTAGTTTCAGAAAGAATAGCTTTTCTTTTGCATTCCTGAAGCACCTTTGACCTAAACCATCAGGAAAGTCATTTTCCTTTCTATGTCTAACCATACAGCTTAATATAAACAGTATCTGAAGTCATTTTGTGATAATACCAGAGCAAATTATAGCCCTCCATAATTTGAAAGTAATAATATTAAAGATGAGATGTCTGGTTGTTCTTAGTAGATTTTTCTTGGAATGAGGGTCGTTCAAGCATTTAGATTAAAGAAGTGCCTTCTACCACTTGTATCTTTAGTTTGATGCTTCTATCTCTTTTGGTATAGTTGTCATAACACTGACTCACCATCATGAAATGATGTGACACTTTTACCTTCAAATATTATTTTCTACAATATTTAGTCACCTCAGTCCAACACAGGATGGACTTTCATTTTCTCTAGTAATTCTTTTATGCTTCTTTAGTGGAATTCAGGAGATTTTCTAAGCAATATAACTTCTTGTCACTATACTTTGTGCTTAAAATAATGTAAACAATTATGTGAAAATGAGAAGATTTAGCTTGACTCCAGTGTGCTCACCCAAAATGTACCACTTAATCTCAAACCTGTATTCAGAAGCAGCTGCCTGGTACCATTAGCCCTCAATTGCTAAGCAGGGTTACCCAGACTCAACAATTGTCTGATATACGGGCTGGAGTTAAGTATAATCTTAACCATGCATTTATCTTCTCATCATTCAGGAATGGAAAAGAAACCTTGTTATACTTTTAGGTGAATGAGACTTTTAATGTATATTGTTTTGATATGACCATCTGTTCATACAGCCAACTCTTGATTATCTGAGGTAAGAGAGCCCTGGAATAGGATGCATTCTTTAAATGCACGTAATCCTCATTTCAGCAAATAGATTCAGCCTCCTCAACAAATCATTGACCAGGGAGTAATAAAACACAGGAATTCCTTCTCCCTTTATTTCTCTTTCTCACCTTCTGGTAGTGATGACAATGAGCAGTGAACTGGCAGCAACAGGGAAAATCCTGAAAAATCTGCAAAATGGTCAACCAGTCCCTGAATCAAGAGTTGACTGAACTGTATAATCTCACCAAATATCTTGAAACTAGACAGTATATATATTAGACATATATATACATACAGCAAGAATTCAGCTGGGAGCATTTGCCATGTTTTTCTCAGATACTGTGCCTGAGTGAATACTGTTCTATAATGCTGTGTGATTTTCCTATGTAGGGTGAACCAGGGCTTCCTGGGCTTCCTGGACTTCCGGGGATAAAGGTAAATACTGCACTGACAGTCTTGGCTTCATAGAAATGTAACTGTGAGAGTCATAAAAATGAAAAAAGCTAAAAATATAGTGCTGTTCTTTAAATACTCACCAGCCATTTCAACCAATTAAATTTTTAAATTAAAAATGAAGCACAGGTAACAGAAATAGATTTACAGGCATAGAAAACAAACTTAAGGTTACCAAAGGGGAAAGGGGGGGAAAGGATAGATTAGGAGTTTGGAACTAACAGATACACACTACTACATATAAAATAGATAATCAACAAGGTTCTACTGTATAGCACAGGGAACTATACTCAAGATCCTGTAATAATCTATAATGGAAAAGAATCTGAAAAAGAACATATATATATACATGTATATGTATAATATATACATAAATATATATATATGTATGAAACTGAATCACTCTGCTGTACACCTGAAACTAACACAACATTGTAAATCAACTATACTTCAATAAAAAGAAAATGAAGCATGGGTATTTCTAAAGTTTGCCATGGCTATCTGGACTGTATATTCCACTATATAACCTACTATGCCCCTTAAATAAATGTAAAAGTCATTTCATTTGAAGTCATAGGAATTCTTTAAAGTCTACAATGTCTCCCTTCACATTTAAATTTTACTCTTAAGATCCTATCAGATTTTGACCAGAATTAAAATCTTAACATCCCCTTAAATCTAATATCCAGGCAGCTGTTTTTGTGATTCACCCATTATAATAATCTTTCCAAAGTTTTTTTTTTTTTTTTTTAATTTATTTATTTGTGGCTGTGTTGCGTCTTCGTTGCTGTGTGTGGGCTTTCTCTAGTTGCGGAGAGCAGAGGCTACTCTTCGTTGCGGTGTGCAGGCTTCTCACTGCAGTGGCTTCTCTTGTTGTGGAGCACAGGCTCTAGGCACGCAGGCTTCAGTAGTTGTGGCACATGGGCTCAGTAGTTGTGGCTTGCGGGCTCTAGAGCTTAGGCTCAGTAGTTGTGGTGCACGGGCGCAGTTGCTCTGCGGCATGTGGGATCTTCCCAGACTAGAGCTCGAACCTGTGTCCCCTGCATTGGCAGGTGGATTCCCAACCACTGTGCCACCAGGGAAGTCCTTCCAATGTGTTTTGTGCTTCTACTTCCTGTTAATAATTCTCACTGCAAAGTACAAATATTACTAAGCTTTATTGACCTACATACTATTTCCATAAAATTTGTATGTCTTTTGAAATAACTGCTTAAAGCTTAGCTTGAAAACATTGTTTTACATGTTTTTAAATTGTCTAAAAATATTAACAAACATTTTTTTTAGTTGTTTAAAATTTTTTACATGGCAACTGACAAGGCTTAAAAGTTCTAGTGTCTTAGCTGTAGTGCTCCCTTAAAATCAGCTTCTTATTTTAAAGTTTTTTCTTTTAATTCTAGAACTGATAAAATAACATAATGCAAGTAGATTTTTCTTTACATTGTTCTCATCTTATAGAATTTTGAATTAATCTCTAGAGCACATTAGATGATTCTAAAATTAATATTCCTAGTTTCAGTAAGAGGGTTGTATATGCTGCTTTATGAAGATTGTGTTTGAAATGTGCTACATGAATAATATGATTTTAGAATTAATATATTAAATTACTGAGTTCCCAGACATCATATGGTATCATATGTAATATTTTATGAGTATATTTGTTATAATTAACAGCCATGAAAGCTATGAATTCCAGGTTGGCACTCAGAAATTGTGGTTCTGCTTTTTGTTTGATGTTTCCAGATTAGTATCACAGATGTCCAGATATGTCCTTTTAATATATTTTTAGTCTTTGGCTGCTTCACTGAAAAGTACGCTCCATGACAACAGTTTACTAAAGAATCAAAGTCATTTCCTTATCATTTGATATTTAGCAAAAATAACTTAATAAATTATATGTGATTTCATACTGCAGAGTTAATTTATGGCAGTTCCTTAATAATCCCACACATTAAAAAAAAAGCTTTTTACTGATATTTGGAAAATCACAGATTTTTAAAACAAATTTAAGAACACTAAATTCAGCACTAAGTTAAAGAAGCCGGTAACATTATAAGTAAGGGGGGAGGCATTTAAAAAGAGGGGCATTTTGGAAGGACTGGGGCAGGGTTTCCTGCAGCACTTGCTTGTAGGTTAGTTGGGCTGTGCTACCAGCACCAGATCCTGAGGCAGGAATCTCAGTGCTGTGTAGAAATCCAGTTGTCCCTTCTCCTGAGGGTGAGCTTTCTTGTTGAGAGAGAGTATATAAGGGGGAAGGTATTGGGGTTTTTCCCTCCAAAACGAACAAACAAAACAATTACAGTTACTACTATTCGTTCTCATTACCTGTGATTTATGTCCTCCACTGTGAAAAATACCCCCGCTCATTTCCCTAGTCATCGGTGGACCAGTTTGAAGGTTTTGAACTTTTTCAAATTGGGAAAGATGTTGGTGATTTGCCACCTCCAGTAAACGTTTTTATTTCTAGGGTCATGGGATGTTGCCAGACAAATTTTGTCAAGATCTTATAGCTGATACTTTCCTTTGTTTTTCTAACCTGACTAGTGACTATGGTGAGAAGAAGGCATCCACTGACAAAAATCTTTCTATCATTAACTAGAGATACTTTTCCATGTAATTATCGAGTGTTGTTGGGTAACTATCCAGTATTCAGTTTAAATCACAGATTCTATTTTTGGATTAATAAGCTCTGTCTTCTCTCTCTCGTTCAGAATGTAAGTGATATGCTTGCCCTATAATGTAGTAGGTGCTCAGTGTAATTGAGTAATTTTGTAAAGGAGGCAATTTAAAAACACATCATAGTCATGAGTAGTTATTGGATATTTAAAAATGTACAGTTAAAAGTTTATAAATTTATGATATAGCTTCATTAACTTGGGATATTCTTTACTCCTTTAATATACTTTGCTTCTGTTAGGTAGTTAACCACAGGACAGTTAACCTTGATTTCATAGTTTGAATGAGTAATAATATTTAAAAGATGAAACCACCATATATGGATTTAGAATGTGTGGTAGCAAGAGCATTAGTCATAACTTTCCTAGACCTGTGTGTTTGTTTATGCTTTGGAAATACTTCCTTGCTATCCATCTCCTAATCTGCTGGTACTACAGGGAGCGTGCAAATGCCATCCGTTATTTCCAAGATGTTGAGGAAACCAGCCATGACATACCAGGGGAGCTTTGATTTGCCACCTGTTGCTCTCGGGGAACGGTTGGAAGCTTAATGAGCATCCACATGCCTTCCACACTGCTCTCAGGAAATGAGCAAAGTGCCTAAATACAGACAGCAGACTCATCTATCTATCACCTCAGGGTCCCACTCAGAGATAAGTACTAATACCTTCGGCATATATAAAAGTCACTAAGAAGAGGCATCACTTAATTTCAAACTACTCTTAAGCTTCCCGAACAAGTATTGGAAAGTGCTCTGACCAGGTGGAAGACATTTGGAATTCCTATTTCATGCATCCATGGTTCATATAGTGTTAAGATGTTCAGCCGGGAAGATTAAATTATTGTACGTTGTACATTGCACAGTGTGCCATGCAAACATTGGTCTTCCGGAGTAAGGATTGAGCTCAGAAAAGCTTTTTGATTAACAAGCCTTTAAATATATTTTTCATGGGTAAAACTTTATTGTGACTAGCTTTTCCAATATCACATAAAAGGGTGAGATTCAAAGTTCCTAGTTTTAAACATGTTTTTCTTTCCATACATGTTGAAAATTGCTTACCCCTTTCATGGTTACATCACCCTAGTAATTAAGTCACGAAGAGCAGTGATCAAGAGCCTGGGACCAGACCACCAGTGTGTAGATACCAGTTCTACCCCTTACCAGTTTATGAAGCTATATCATGATACTGGGCAAGTTACATAATCTCTCTGTGCTGGGTTTCCTTATCAAATGGGAATTATTATCATACATAACTCAGAGGGTTGTTGTGACGATTAAATGAATTAATATACATGCAGCTCCTAAAATATTGCCAAACATATAGTAAACGCTATATAAATTTTAGCTATTGTTATTTCTTTCTCTTGGAGCAGCTCAGAATGTTGGAAACATTGTTTATGCACCTGTTCTATAGAGTCTTTACTCCTGTGAGTCATTTCAACCTAGAGATCATAAAGCCATTTACACCCTCCAGGTTCATAGATCTAAATTCTGAAAACTCCTTTGCGGTGATGGTTGAATGTTACCTTTAAGAGCAGTAAGATAACATATTTTCTCTTGAAACATGACATCACACTATTCCCCTTTTCCTATAACCCAATGTATTCCAGGGATAAAGGATGAGGAAACACAGTGTTCTGCACATAAGACATGATACTGTCTTAGTTCTCCTTCCCGACACTCTTCACAGGAAAAGCAAAAGGAAAGCTTGACATGTAATAATGGAAATCTCTAGGCCCCATTCATAGTGTTGCCCAGCCCAAGACATTTTTTATGATTATGAATTTTCAATGCTTGTTTTTCTCCTTTCAGCGTTGACTACCAGTGTATCTCATCATGTTTAGAAAGTAAATTGGGAAAAATGTACCTGATACATTAAAATGAATACAATAGGGAGACATAATACAGTAAAAATTACATCAAATCAGAAAAACAAATCATTTAGGTGGCAAAGAAATTTTTACGGTATTTTCCCTCAAAGCTTGATATTTTTGTTCTGGCTTCCACATTAGTGACAATTTGAGATTCAGATCAAGAACTTGAGGATCAGGAGACAGTAACTAACTGTTTACACTTCGTTATATAAAATCATCCTTGACACTAGATCATATAAGCACTAACTTTTACAGGTGGCAGAAACATTATTTTGTCATTCTTAGGATTAAGTATAGTGCCCAGTCATCTATAGAAACTTATCTTCTAAATACACTGGAGATGAGGTTCCTTCCTTAGAAACATCAAATCACATTTTTAAAATAACAGAAGAAGGTTTTTGGAAGTGACATAGGATGTGAAATGAATTTGTAAAA